CCCTCCGCTCCTCACAGGGCTCCCCAGCACCTCAGGGGGACCCGAAGTGTCTCAGGGGGACCCTCCTTTGTCTCTGGGGTTTCCCCCGTGCCACGAGGGTCCCTCGGTGCCTCAGGGACAGCCCGCGCCTCAGCACGCGGCTCCTCCCGCCCCTCAGGGAGTCCCTCCGGAGCCATCCCTCCGCTCTTCACAGGGCTCCCCAGTGCCTCAGGGGAACCCCCCGCACCTCAGGGGGACCCCAAGTGCCTCTGGGGCTTCCCCCGCTCTTCAGAGGGATTCTGGCGCCTCAGGGGGTCACTGCCCTCCCACGCCTCAGGGGTCCCCCAGCACCTCAGGGGTCCCTCGGTGTCTCAGGGGTCCCTCGGTGTCTCCGGGCTCTCCTGCGCTTCAGCCCCACCGCCTCTTCCCTCCCCCCGTGCCTCAGGGGGACCCCCAGCCCCTCAGAGGTGCCTCAGCCCCCCGCGCCTCAGGGACCCCCAGTGCCTCATGGTGGCATCAGGCGCTGCCGTGTGAGGGGCAGGACCTGGCCCCAGATGGGGCCCAGCCACTCAAAAAAAACCCCAGAGACACCCCCAAACCAGACTTTTAACCCCATCTTTGGAGCCATGGCATCTTTTAGGGGCTGTGATGCCTCACATCTCCCACATCAGGCACGAGGGGCAGGGCTGGGGGGGTGCAGGGCTGAGGGGGCAAAGTCCCGCAAGGATGGGGTTTCCTGAGGGTGAGGGTTGGTTTTTCCCATTTAATATTAATTTCCTGATATTTGGTGATAAAGTCGCTGCCAAGTTGGTTGAGCATTGGAGTTCCAGGGTGCCTTCTGTCCCCTCCAGCCCAGGTAAGATACTGATGCTGAAGTCTTGTACCTGAACGGCCAGGCCGGAGTAAATCATCTCAGTCTAGGTGATGTTTCCTCTGCAGTAAATCAATATTAAGTGTGGTATGGTTTAGAAAACATGTTTTCTTATGTCTTTGTTTCACTTAAATCGGCTCTATTTAGCTAATAACCTCACATCGTAATAACACCTTTGTCTGCCTTGATTGCATTCCAGTCCTGCTCGCAGTGCCTGGGTAAAAAAAGCTACTTTGCTAAAATATTTAACACATTTAAATTTTGCAGGTGTGTATTTGTTTAAATATACTTTTATAGCTGTAATCTGTCCTCATTACTAATTGAAGTGCTAAATTTGGCATAAAAGCTGTCACCATGTTCCAATCAACATGTCTTAATGACTGCCAACAAATGGAAATGAGGCTTCCATGGGAAAAAAGCACAAAAGGTACAAATGCAGAACAGGGTTGGATCAGCTGAGTTAATAAAAGCCCGCTGCTGGCTGCATTAGGTCAGGATTTAAATCAACCCCCAGTGTTTGTGCTATTATTTTAATTGTTACTGGGAATATCGACTGGCTGTGGACTCTGGCTACCTGTTGGTGGTGTTTCCTGTCATTAACATCCCCTGTTAGTAACGAGATGTGGAGATCTCCCAGTGAGTCATTTTTCAAACCAGTAAACGCGTGCCTTGTTAATTCCAGCTAATGGAAGTTTTTAATCAGGGTGTCAGGTGGTGCTAAATCAAACTCCTCACCCGAGTGCGAAATGTGGAATGTCCACATTATTGCCTGTATCAATCAGCTCCCCATTCCTGTAAAAAGAATATTTTCCTCTTCAATCCAAGCTTGTCTAACAGGCTTTCACTGGAACAATTTGGACTTCTCTCTTTTTTTTGTCCCCCTTTTTTTTCTCCTTTCAAGGTGTCCCAGAAGACTCATTCCTTTATTCCAGCCAACACTGATGTTAGTGCTTTTCCTGCTTAGCCTTGCTAAAATATTACCTACTATTGGCAGGCCTCCAGTTCTTTCACATTCCCCCTTCACAGTTTTTAATGGTTGTGGGAATTAACATTTGTGGTTTGGAATATGAGAAATGCATTTTGAAGTGACTGACACCGAGTGCATTCGAGGCCCTGAATTTCAAACACTATCGATCGCTGGCCGGTGAATGGGGAGTTTTCGTGCTCTGCAGACTCAGTGCCATGGAGTATCCTTGGCTTGCTTTGCTTTAGCTGTCCTGGCTGGCAGTAAGCTTTCAGACCTGAATAACCTGAAGAATCTCATTCTTAGTTTAAGAAATATGAGAAACAGCAAAAACTGTTTTTTTCCGGGTGTCTCATATCTTCTTTATTTTTCAGCGTTTAGTTACAAGTGGAAGGCAGGTCTTTGAAATACAGGATGGCTACTCAGCAGCTAGTCAGGCAAAAGAAGAAGTCCTCTAAGGTAAAACCTTTAATTATGATGGTAGTGACAACCTTAGCTCTCCGTTTGGGACCTGGCACGCCTGTGCCTGTGGAGGGAGGTGGGAACGCTTTCTGCTGTCTGCACTGTTCTTAGTTGGATTATTTCCAATTCAGTGAGAAACAGCGTGGGGCTCTGCCGTGGTTTGACTCAGTAAATGTAGGCTCATTAGGTGTGCACTGAGCTTTATTAGCAGGAAGAACAGCAATAAACTAATAAAAGAACTTAATTTAGTGTAGTGTCCGCTGCATTGTTCATGTTGGCATCACACAGTGTGCATTTACAGTAGCTCCAGGTGCAGCCATGTGCTGTTTACAGCCCGGAGTTAAAATCACTCTGAGACCTGGGGGTGTGCAGCGCTGGCAGCTCAGGCTGCTGTCGGAGCTCCCAGACAGCTGTGGCAGCAGCCTTTGGTACAGCAGTGAGTGCCACACCAGCCCTGGCACTTGGGTGACTCTGCAGTTACAACTACACACTTTTTTCTGGGGGTGGTTGTCTGGTGAGTGCCAGCATTGGTGCAGTGGAAGGGGTGAGAATGTGATAAAGGGGAAGGTATGTCCAGCCAGTGCAGTCTGCACCTGAACAATGATCTGTTGATCACTATCCTAAAAACATTTAATCCCACCCACCTTAGGCACGATTCTTCCCTGTGCAGCTTAAAAGACCAGAGAAATCTTAAAATTACATTTTTAAGTTACCCCCTCTCCACCTGCTGTGAGTTGTTTCTAGCTATAGTCCCTGTTTTCACTACAATGGTGCTGTTTTGGCCTTGCCCCCCTCTTGCAGGAAGCAGTGCTGTTCCCGGATGCCATGGCCACGGAGCCGCAGTCTCTGGTGCTGGTGAAGAGGCTCCTGGCCATCTCCGTGTCCTGCATCACCTACATGAGGGGGCTGTTCCCAGAGAGCTCCTACGGAACCCGCTACTTAGATGGTAACACTGTTTGTGCTGCATTCTTATTTCTGCTCACTCTCTTTTACCTGTAATCTGCTTCATGTGTTGGCTTCTGGCTGCACATGTCTGAGTTCGGTTTGTTAGGGAGTTGGCCACAGGCCTTCTCAAGTCTGGGTGGAGACAGTGCTTCTGAGAGAGAGCACGGAAGACAGCCTAGAACTCCTGGCTTTTCTGTCAGTGTTTCACTTGGTTTGAAGTCATTCCTTGGCATTACCAGCCCTATGAGTGAGTGACACAGGAAAGTGACTTAAAAATCAGAATTTTTAAAAAAATTAACTCTGATTATTGTGTTTTATTTTCCTTTGGATTTTTGAGCCCTCAAGGTTCACATTGAGATTCTCTTGCGAGATTGAAAGTGCATTTTCCACCTTGAATGCCTGGAAACACAGTAGAAGGAGCTGTGTGGAAAATCTTAACAGAAGTAGTTTATTCTGAGCACAGTCATTTACCTCATACGGATGTTGGTGGAGTCTGAATGCAGAAGGGAAGGTGTTGTTAGGGAATGGTGGGGTAGGATGGAGTGGAGAAGAGGAGGGAGGAGAGGATGAAGCTGCTGGTGTTTTGAAATTGAGCTGTAACTTCAGCTCTTCTTCCGGGAGAGCCCTCAGAGCTGAGGAAAGCTCTGACATTTGCAAATGCAGCAATGAGCTTGTGTCAGCCCACCTGGGACTCAGTGGAAACCCAACATTTCCGCTCAGGAAGGACCTCCAGATAAAGCACTTTATCCAAAAAAGGGGGGGTGACTGGCTTAGTTTCAGTGTTTGCCCAGGAGCCGTGATAAGGATTATAACTACGTGCTAAATCTGGTTTTGCAGACCTGTGTCTAAAAATTCTCCGCGAAGATAAAAGCTGTCTGGGATCATTGCAGATAGTCAAGTGGTAAGTGAGTAACAGTGAAACCAAGACAAGATTGTGCTGAGCATTGAGACATCTGCCCCTGCATTCTTCTTCTTCCTGACTTGGAAAACATCGTGCCCGGCAGCGCTGCCGGTGCCAGGGGAGCTCCCACTGCTGCGGGGGTGCTTGGCCCTGCGTAAGCAGGACAGAATTAGCTGACCCAGATCATGTGAGTTCAAGGTCTGTGGAAGTGTTGGCTGCAGTGAGGTCATGGTCAGGCCCCAGAGCACACGCAGCAGTGGAGGTACACAGAGAGGGTTAAGACAGTCATGAGGTCGATCCTGTTGTTGTTTAGTCTTTTCTGGTTTCACTTTGATAGGGATTCTTGCACTTGTTTTTCAGTATGTGCAGTATTTTTTTTCCTATAAGTACCCCCCAGGTTTTCTTCAAGATGTGTTCAAGAGTTGGCACGTTCCCAGCAAGCAGAAAAACTGACTTTGATGTGCTAAGGAGATACCTCTCTGCACATCCTTTCACTCCAAGAGCAAATATCTGGCTATTGCTACTTCAAATAATATTTACTGCTTTGAGAAGATCCATTGCTGTAAACTATGCATCAGATAACAAAGATTTACAAGACCATACATGTTCAGATTCAGCCAAGCTCTGTACAAGGCTGATGGGAAAAGAGCCATCAGAGCTCTGGCTGGGGAGCTGGAACAGAGCACTGAGCAGGGAGCCACTTTGGCCTCCAATCCTTGTCTTTGTCAGGATTCAAGTGGGCTCTGGTCTGACAGGATAATACCCCAGAAGTATAAACAGTGCACAAATGCAGAAGGAAGGACAGTGCCTTCAGGGCTGACCTGAAAAGGACTGTGCAAGCCCCAAATGTTGTTAGTTGTGTTGTCCTAATCCCAGGAAAAAATGTCCTTTAACCCGTATCTAATGAGCGTGTGTTTACAGATCAGGAGATAAATACTGCTGGTTAGTATTAACATGTTTTTTCCCTGGCAGGATTCAAGGTTGTTTTGATGCTTTGGAGAAGCAGTATGTAAGTTTTTCTTCACATTTTTTACTGGAGTTTTCTATTTCTTCGTAAAGTATGGACAAAACTCTCTTTCCGTTTCTGCTGTATTTCTGTTACAGTCTCTCATGCACACAACAGTCTTTATGGCCATGGGACAGGGGGGAGACCCTGCCCTGAGTATGAGATTTGGGATTTTATGCCTTGAGCCCAAATATTGACCACTGTTGCTGTCTAGGCTCATCTGTCCATGGTGTGGGAACTAATTTGCAGCTTGCAATGGATTTCCCTCAGTTCTGTGCTCTACATTTGTGTTCTCTGATGTCTGATAGAGGCACTGCCAGGCAGAGATGAGGTCTTGATCTCCTGCCCTGTTTTCTTGACAGAGGTTCTGTGCTTCTGCTTTCCTTCATCTCCTTTCTCCTTCTGCTCATCTTCTCTAACCCTCCTGGCTTTTTTCTTGGGTTCAGAATTTACTACTTTTTTTGGGAAAGTAATTCATCCAGTGAGGTGCACAACTGGTTCCAGGACAAAACCAGTAGCAGGAAATCATGTTCCTTGCTGATTCTCACATAAAATCTGCTCTGCACAGGAAAAAGCACCAGCTGCTGTCATCTCTGTCAGCAGTGTTCATCAGCACAGCTCCTCCAGCTCGGATGGAGTGCTGGTGGTTGTGGCACTGATGATCTGATGGGCTCTCAGACGTCAGTACAACTGTCACAGGATAATTCACAACGTTGTGAATGCAGTGTAGTGCTTGCTGACAGCTCTAGGAGGTCCTTTGCTATCTATGAGACATAAATTAATTGTTGTTTGACAAGGATTAGGGAAAACCTGAGGTATTTAATGGGTATTTTCAGATTGTTTTCAAGAGCAGTCCCATGTACGTTTCCTTGCTGTAGCATAAATACCTTTGGAGAGCTTCACAGAGGAGAGCAAATATTAGTCTTCAGTGGGGATAGGTGCTCTTGCAAAAGGGTGTTACATCAGCACAGCCTTTGGGGATTTGTTTAAAAGGAGCCCCATGGGAGCAGGCCCCATGGAGCTGTTTTTTGGGGAACTGCAAGTAAAGCCAGACAAACTGGCCACTAGGTGTTGCTGATGCCGTGCTGGGAAGACTCTGCAAAACGGGTTTTAGCTCCTCGTTCGTTGAGTGTATCTGTTCATTTGCCCTGTGTAGGCAGTTAGGTTTTGATAGGACTTGCTTTTCTTTGCCCGCTGAGGTTAGATTTTCATGATGTGTTTTGTTTTACTTTTCCCTCCTCAGCTACGCATCGCTGTCCTTGCAGTAAGTAGATGAATACAAAGTAGTTTTCTTTCCCCTCCCCTGCTTGAAAGAGATACAGAGTAAAGGTTGTGTCAAACCATTTGTGCCTTTTTTAAGGAGAAGCCAGAATGTGTATGATTTTTAATAGAGCTATGACCTTTATCAAATATGGTAAATGCGAAGTTCAAGGCTGCATGGGGATGTTTTTCTCAGCATGTCACACTCCTGACTGAGGCCTCACATGCATCCTTAGACTCTGAGAAGCACTTTCATGTGATTCCTATCATGGAAGCTCCTCTCATTTCCCCCTGCAGAAGTGTCCTTATTAATCTGATCCTGGACACACCACACGCTGGTGGTTCCAAGACAGCCATTGGCCCTGGCCCTCTGTAAAGCTCCAGGAACTTTGCTTTGCATCTACTCTGTGCATCATCTGAGCAGTTAAATCTCAGTCAGTAGTTCCCTGTGAGGGTTGGAATGGGAATTAGCCTCATTCCTCCACAATTGCACTTCAGTTGTCTTCTACCTGTCTTTGAAGTGGTAAGTATTGCCTGCTGATAGAGGAAAGCTGTTTCTCAGCCATTCCTTTCTCTGATCCCACGCTAAAGATAGTCCAGTCTCTGCTGTAAACTGAAAATATCATTGTTAGTCACTGGTTCAAGTTGTCCCGGGGAGAATGCCCTCACTGTGCTTTCTTGTAACAGATTTACACCAATCCCAAGGAACCGGAGGTAAGAAAGAGTCTTAATTAATCTTTGAGGCAACTGCAGCCACGGGTGAGTAGATCTGTATTCAGAGTGGAGTCGTGGGCTGAAGTTCCACCCTGACGTAGCTGCTCGGTGACCTCGTTTCTGTCCTTGTGCCTTCGCTCCAGAGTGCCAGCTCAGTGAGCTGGATGGGGATCAAACACCAGGCACCAGGCTGTGGGCCCACCAGGGCCTCAGGCAGGGGTGTCAGCAGGCAACTAATGGCCATGTTTGCCCTTTTGGTTTAGTTTCCCAAAGAGAAAAAATGAGAAGTTCAAAATAATTCATTTACGAACCAGCTTTTTAACAGCCCTGGTGAAAAGAGCCGTGTTGTCATGCAGAGAGGTGTAGGACAGAAGTCAGGAATCCCTTCAGACCTGGATGGATGTGCTGTGTACTGCCTGTCCTTGTCCTTTTGGTGTTCCCTGATGTGTTTCTGTTTTGTTACATCTGTCTGGGGCATAGAGACTGGGGGGTGTGATCCCTAGTGAGGGTCTGCATCCATGCTGGAGATTGGAGAACAGCTGTAACCTCTTTGCACCTGAACCTGGTTCCAGTTCTGCTGTGTGTCACCTCAGCATCTGGGGACAGAGCAGGAGTTTAGTTGTGCCAAGGCTGGGATTTGTAAGGAAGGCTCAGACTTAAAAGCACAGCTGAGTTCCTACTAATCAACCTCGTTGTCTCCGGAAAAAGTGAATTATAGGCATGGAATTGGTCTACAATAGATCCTTTCTCCTGGGGGGGAAGCTGTCTGTTCTTCCTAATTGTTTTATTCTTTAATCCTTTTAAATGGAAAATCATTTTGGTTTTTTGTCTCCCTCAAAAAAAACCTCTGAGACTGGTGAAATTCAGCAACTGTTTCCCATGCAATATTGTTTGAATTTCCTTATGGGAAGAGTCCTCCTCTCCACAGAGACCTTTGTGTCCCTGCAGAGCACTGGGCCAGGCTTCCTTATGACACTGATCACCCCTGCAGCTCCCAGTTTTCCTTAACAAGGAGGGTTGGCTGGTCCTGGAGCCTCACTAGAGACTGAGGCTGGGGATTCAGGCCCACAGAGGAAGTGGAAGGAGGAAGCAGGAAGTTTGTAATTTTGTTGTGATTCTTTCAGTGCTAGGTGAGATGTGGTTGTTAAGAAAATTTGCCAAAGCCCGTGCAAGCAGTAATGGAGTTAAAGTTGTCATCATGTCATTAAGTTAATGCTGTGCCCTGGCAGAGAGTGTGAAAGGACTCTGTCGAGCTCAGGACACATCTTTACACTTGTTACTCAAAGTGACCCATTTTTGCTTTTCCCCTCTCTTGTTACCTCTCCAGGTAGTGACTGAACTGTACGAATTCAAATTCAAGTATAAAAAGAAGGTGCCACAGATGGACATCAGCAGGTAAAGGTTTGGGTGGTTTCTCAGGGTTACACTGAAAACTGGTTATGAAGCATTAAAAAGCCACACTTTATGATTGCCAGGGAAGCTGTGGACTCCCCATCCCTGGAAGTGTCCAAGGCCAGGTTGGATAAACTTGGAGCAGCCTGGTCTAGTGGAAGGTGTCCCTGCTAATGGCAGAGGGTGGGAGGAGCTGAGCTTTAAGGTCCCTTCCAACCCAAACCATCCTGTGGCTCTGTGGTTCGAGCATGTCCAAGTTGCTGAGCAGCTGTAAATACCCTCAGAGCTGAGGATATTCACCCTGCAGGATACGACCTGCTGGGAGGAGGAGTCGAAATGAGGTTATGTAGCATCATGAGGCCCTCCAAGGGCACCCGAGCTGAGCTCAGGACAGTTGGTAGCAGCGGTGCCTCATCAGGGGGGTGATGCAGAAACCAGCACAGTTCCTGAGCTTGCTGCTGTCTCAACTGATTCTTCCATTTTTACCACACAGCCTTGTGCTTTCAAAAGGTTTGATCCCTTTTTTTCCCCATGATCCTGCACCCAGGGTTTTTTCCCTTGGACATTTGCATACATGTCTTCTGCTTGAGCAGCCCTGCGTGGGTGACCCGAGAGAACTTTCGCTTATGATGCCTGAGTTTGATGGTGCAAAACGTGTGGCAGGAAGCAGCAGCTTTTTTGCCTCTTTTTGGCACTCTCTGTTAGATATTTAAAGCTGTGCTTAGTAGGCCACAATCCTGTGGAGTTTCAAATAAATACTATCAAAGGCCGTTGGCTGCAACCAAAGCAAAAAAAAAGAAAAAAATAATTGACCTGTTTTCAGTTTATTCTGCAGTTGCCCTTGGTGAAATCTTTGGGCCTGGAAACCTGCCTGTACAGCAAGAGAGCTCTGTCTTGTGTGCTCCTCAGGAAGCTTCTCTGCTGCACTCCTGGAGCCTGCCTTTAGCTGCTCTCTCTCAAAACACATCCAAATAATTTCTAGTATAAGGCAAAATGATCTTCTATTGGCAGAATCTGAATTATCTCAGTGTGGAGTGTCCTGCTGGCTGTGCCCTCTGTTTCTGCTCTGAAGCTCCATTGTCCTCACTACACTGAGGGGAAGAGGAGATTTGGGATTTGAAAGATAATAGATGGCCTTTGAGTACTTTGGGTTTTAATCAGCCTTCCTCATTAGTCCCCAGAGATAAGGACAGTCCCCAAATGGAGCTTGCCATCCCTCGGAGTCCATCTTGCTGTCAGGCAATCTTGGTGTTATGTTTGTATGTGCTCTGAGGCTCCAGAGCCCAGGGCACCAGATTCCTGGGCTCTGCTGTGTTTCCTCAGGGACTGGCAGTGCCCTGGCAGGCTCCTGCCTGTCCCTGCAGTCCTTAGTAATCTGATGTTCTGGCATGGACCAGAGAATTGTGTCATCTTTGCTGTCAGCTCCCTGGGCTGATAACACTGCCTTTTACACCTGCAGTGCTTGTTGTCATGTGCAAACTTGGAGTTAATAATTCCAGGAGAGAGGTTTTGTGGGTTTGCATCATCACATCCGAGGGATAAAGGGAAATGTTCCCCTAAATGGTCTTTGCTTTATTTTATATGGATTTTAGAGGAATTCTTGCCATAGATCCCAGTCCTTCCAAGGTTCAGTTCCTTCTGCTTCTTGACACACTCCTGCATCAAATTCACGGTGTTATTCCTGTATTGAATCAGTCCTTGACCTGTTAATTCCTATGGAAGTCTCATTTCTTTTTTTCTTGTGATCTTTCCCCTTGCCATTTCTGATCTGCTAATCCCACAGCTTGTAAAGGTGATGGATATTCCACCTTAGGCACTGCCAGCATTTCCCTCTCACTTGCTGTACATTTCTGAACATACAGGATTTAATCTAAGACCACAGTGCACATCTAATACCTCAGAGTTTTGCTGTTGGCAATTCAGAGTCTGCCAAACCGTCCCCTGCATCTGTCAGCAGTTTGACTTGATGATCTTAGAGGTCTTTTCCAACCTAAATGATCCTATGATTCCATACTCTGGGAAGTCAAGCCACTATGTTTTCATGATGAGCCAAGAAGCTTCAGCTGGAAGGGGGAATCTGTCTTAATGAAGGTGTTCTTTGCTGTGGTTCAGTCAGATTCAGCCCTGCTCTCTTGGGTCACTCCCTGCTTTTGAAGCTGTTTGGGGGGATTGCCTTAGGGACCATCCAACCTGTGTATGGGGCCACCCACCCATGTCAGGGGTCTTCCCAAAGATGTAGTGAAGGAACCACGTAGTTTTATGGCCCCTTCTCATTGAAAGTTAGGGAAGTTCAGGTCCCTTAGTCACAGAGTGATTCATCTGGGCCACCTAAAGCTGGTTATCTCATCTACCTCTACAGTCAAGAGAAACAAACTCCTCCAGATTGCGATTCATCCCACTCGTGTCACCCGTGGGTCTCAGTCTAGACTGTTTGCTTAGCCCAGCCAGCTGACATTTGGATGGCTGAAGGAGGGGAGAGGAATGCCCCTTCGTCACTGCTGAAAAATGTGCTTCTGAGCTCGTTTTTCTTGCATGGAATTGAGGGAGAACATGCGATTCGCCTCTCTTCAAACTGCAAAATGGACTTGAAAATAGCCCCTGTGATGAATCGGCTTTAGATTGGATTCTCAGCTCATTCCTCTCATTCCTGAAATTGCTTAGGTGAAAGGCACTTGTTTTATGGGCCTTTGATTCAATTTAATCATGTTCAAACAAGTGACTCATGACATTTGTATAATGGGGTCTGTTGCCCCAGCTCCGAAGTCTGTTCAAATGTAAATGCCAAGCCTTTGAGTCCAGAGCGGGTGTTCTGAGGATGCCACCCCATCCCTGGAGCCTGTTTCACTTCCCTGTTTAGCTGGAAATGACATAAGGACATTGTAGCTTTGTCACTAGTGGTTTCAGACGAGTCAGTGGGTGCTCTGTATGTGTAATTAGATCGTGAATATTCATGACTGAGGATAACAAATCTGTTATTCTTCTTCTGGTTGTAGCAACCACAGGGAGTTTGTGACTGGGCTGTGCAGCGAGGACATCAAACAGGCCAGCAGGCTCCTGCTCCGTAAGCTCTACCTGCTCATGCAGAACCTGGGGCCACTGCCCAATGACATCACCCTCACCATGAAACTCCTCTACTACAACGATGGTAGGTGGGGCAAAATTCCCTTTCCATCAGTTTCTGTAAGAAACGAGCCTTGTAAAGTAATTGAAGCACAAAAAGTTGAGATGGGAGCTCTTGGCTGATAACAGTGAGAAATGGTGTAACACAGTAAGTCTTTCCGAGGCACAGGGATGGCAGATGCTTTTTGGGAAAGGTGTCCATGTAAGAGGTACAGCCATGCAGTGTGAAAGGAAGACATCCCTCTTCCCTGGGTTTTTTTTTTTGGGGGTTGTTTTTTTGAGGAACAGGCGCTGTCAGGTTCTGCTCCAGAAACTGAGCACTTAAATGGTATCTCAGCATCCTAAAGTCAGTCTTTCTCTGAGCTCCCCGATAACATTTGCTCAGCTCATTTTCCCCTTTGCATTCTCTCCCTTCCTCCTGAAAAAAACCAGAATATTTTTAGTAGTTGATGTTACTCGAGGCTGGTTCACACTTGTTATTTCTGAATCAGATTTGGGAGAGCTGGAACGCAGTTTCTCTGACCCCAGTGGGTTCCCTCTCCCTGTGCAGTCACTCCCAAAGATTACCAGCCCCCCGGCTTTAAGGAAGATGCCAGCCCTGGTGACCTGTTGTTTGGAGGGGATCCTGTCAACCTGAGAGTGGGCTCAGTCTCCACCGACTTCCACCTCATGAAAGTGAGAGTGATGACTGAGAAGAAGAGGGTGAGGAAGGCTCACAGCAAGCTGATCCAGAAGAGAAGCCCTACTGAGATCTCCTACCAAGGGTTAGACTGTGAGGAGGAGGAAGAGGAGGGGAGCACCAAGGTATAGAAATAGCTCTGTTCGGTTCTCACTGCAGGAACGGAGTTTATTTAGCAAAACCTTCCTTAAAAGAAACATTTTGGGGTTTATGGATTTACCACCTGGCCATATTTTTTAGACTATGCTATTAAAACAACACATCACTTGCTTTACAGAATCACCCTCTCCCTGTCAGCGTAGATTCAAGTGAGCATGAAGGGAACAAAAATAACACCCCCCCAGGCAGGAAAGTGGAAGCACCTTCTTTGTGCCTTCAAGATACAGGTAAATGTCCAGTTTTGAAACTAAAGGGGCTTCTGCTCCTGACTGTGTCCCAGCATAATATTTAGGTTTTCTCACTCACGTTGAAACGGATAAACCGAGTTTGTTTGAATTTTGTGTCAGATCAGCCTGAACTGTACTGAAGGTCTGGTGTAGGCTTGGTTTGTTAACAGAAACATTTAATTTTGTATCAGTATCTTTCCACCTCTTTATCTCAGCAGTTTCTTTCAGATATGGAGGAAATGCTCAGATCATCAAAACTGTGTTACATTATCTCCATGTTCACCAAAGCTCTTTAGCTGTTACAGTTTGATTTTTGCTAATAACTTCCATACATGAAAATACATGAAAGAAAAACCTCTTCTCTCCCTTCTAGTATCCCAGCCTCTGATACACCACGCTGTGTTTGACCTTTGAGGCTCTGGGATATAGCCTGTGGAACAATACCATCTAGTGACAAAATGGTAAATAGCATTCCTGGGATGGCCGGGCAGCAGGAGAAAGCAGCTTCTCTGCCTGTGGAGTCACCTTTGCAGGTCTTTCTCCTGCGGGTTCTCCAACGACTAATAACAACTCATCCTGCCACCTTTGGCACTCTGAGGATATGAACAAGATCCTCCTCCTCTAACAGTTGCCTGTTCTCATGAAACTGAGGCGCTTTGGAGGCCCCCTCAAATTTTATTGAAACTGTCTAAAAGGTTAATAATTAGTACCCAGGGAAGATCTCCCCTCCTTTCCCCCACCCCTCACACTTAGAGCACATGCTCTAAGTTTGTTGCATAAGCTTTGTTTTCTTAGAAACCAGGTTAAAATGCAGTTTAAGTATAATTGATAGAGGTGCTGCAAGCTGATGTCATGCACGTTCAGATGACACTTAATTCTGACACCTTTCTGGGAATAAACTGCCAGTGCTGGCAGTTCCTGGGAGCAAAGGTTACACAATTTCATGGAATTTTGTCCCAGTGGTTTAGTCAGGCTTCTGGATTGTTGTTTTTTTTTCTCCAGTTAAGCTCTTTAAGCTAATTTTGCTTTGCTGTTTGGATTGCAGGTAGAAAGAAGAAGGCAGGAATAAAAGAGACAGGCAGGATGCCTTGCTCAAGGGCATCCCAGCAGGTGAGGAAACTTTAGTAGTTCCAAGATATAACAGGCATGGTGGAATTCATTGCCAGGGGTCATTGTGTCATTGAGGATGCCACGAGATTCACTAACATTAGTGGATTTATGGTGCAGGATCACAATACATAGAGGCTGCAGAGTGTTGGGCCAGAGGGATATAAACATGAAGTGGGAAGAAGCTTTCCATGATCAGCTTATTTCATACATCCAGTACCAGAAATGGGTTCTGTTCCCTGGAGTTGGCACCTGTGAATTACAACACAGACTAAACCCATCCCTGTCCCAACCACGCTGCTTTACCTGTGTGTGGGTTTGGGTGAAGGATCTGAAGTCACCACCCTGTTTTAGGTTTGTCTGTTGCCCTACATGGTCTTCACCTCTCCTGTCTTGCTTCCAGACTGTCTTTACCTGTGAGTCACAAGTACTTACTGAATCCTATCCCTTTTTGGCTACCTCTCTGAGATAGGAAGAATTATCCCCTGGGGGTACTGGTCTCTCTTTTGGTGGTTGTTGGGGCAACCCAAAGAACTGGGGTAGACCAGACATGTCATCTTAGATAAGTGATGTGAAGTTAATCCCTTCCTGAGGGCTGCCCAGGCCAAACCCTGAGTCACAATCAGAGCCCGAATTCATGGGCATGTGCAGAGGTTTTCTCAGTGACAGGGCAAACCTCTGAATGCCACCAGCCTTGCCGCTTGATCCTTCTCCCATTCAAATTAGTTGAGAATCATGTGAGCTTGAATGGTCAGAAACTGCATCTTTACAGGGTCAGTTAACGAGAGTAGGAAATTGCTACTAAAATTTTCCCCGCCTCTGTTGAAAAGAATCCCGGGGTGTCTAACCCAGACAGCAACTGCAGACTGCACTCACCGTGTCATTCTAAAGGCATCTGCGAGGTATTTGCCTTGACTCTGGATCTTAGAAATGAACTTCTGTGCCTAGGCTGGTATTTTTCAAACTTTAACCACATTTTTTTTTCGTGTCACATCCTCCGGTTTCCTTCTCATCATTGTTTATTCTGTCGTCTGTGTGAAAACAGGAGCCTTTTTTGTTTGTAGCTCATGGTTGTCCCACTGATTCATGCTCTGACCTTCTTTTGGGGCTGTCACGATGGTAAGCAGAGGACCAGACACTTCTCTCTCTCACTCTCAGCATGTGAATTTCATTAAAATTCGGTAGCAGGAGTGAGAGTGTCTGAAGGTGGTGGAAACAGCATTAGTTGCTGAAAAATGGAAGAATCACTTTATCCATCATATGCTTCCAAAGACTTTTAAAAAAAAAATAATCCCAAGCCCTCTGCCTGGTAGATTCTGCGTGGGAGAGGGTTTTCTTAATGTATTCTTTGATACTATTTTTAAAACCTCATTACTTCGAAGCTGGCTAATATTTCACTGGGTTTAGGGAAAAACAAAGTCAAGGCAGTAGTTAGAATCATCACTGTAAAACCTGTGCTAATAAAAATTTGACACTCTTTTCCATATGAGAGGGACTTTCCCTTCTTTTCTGAAGGAAGTGGTTAAAACAAATGACCATTGTGTATTCCACTTGAATCAGGAAGCCAAGCTGATGAGTGAAGTTTGTCTTAAAAAACGAGGAGAAGCTTGGCTGGGTGGGAAGTCTGAGTTAGGTGTTATCTGACAGGGTCAAGTACAGGTAAGATGGGTTGGAACAGACCTGTTGGGCTGCGAGTGTGAACACCTTGTTGCTGTCCAGACACTATTAATAGTGTTTTCCAGCTGTTGGGTTGGGGTGTGAATGCCAAAATTTTCCGAACTCACCAAAACAATTGGGAGTGTCCCAGAAATAGCTACCTGCACGAGGGTTTGATATTCAAGAAGTTCTGAGTTCAAAACCGTTACCCACAGTCACAAGTTGCTTCTGGAAATGTGGGTGAGCACATTTCTGCCCTTCATCTGGAGTGAATCCTTCTGATTCCTTGGTTACCAAAAATAAAAACTGTGCTGTTGGAATTGGGTTTATTGGTCACTATCTTCCTGACCTATAGCTCTTCAGGAAAACCAGGAATGAAAGTATTAAAGGCTTATTTTTATCTAATCGACATGGGAGAGGCGGAGGATGCGGATCTGCCAAAAGAGGAGCAGCTCTTCCTGCCCAGTGAGAACTGGAACTGCACTTTGGGAATGGCCACGGAGAGTCTCTGACAGGGCTTTGCAGATTGGGGAAAAATTTCCATGTACTCCACTGGCTTGTTATCTGCAATCTCATGATTGATGATCCTCGAGATCAAATGAGAGATTGCCCTTTTCCAGCAGAGCATCTCTGTGCTTAATCATCCAGAGTTAGACACCAGCATGTAAATTAGCCCACCTCTGCTGGCTTCAAGAGTGATTGCATCAGCCAAGGATTTGTCCCCCCGTGCTATGTTTGTGCATCTTCCTACTTTTCATTGGAATTCTAGGAGTTGGGAAGAGTTGGGGAAAATAGGGAATTGCTGCCCATTGGTTTAACTTGTAGAAATCTGCTGATGAGAGTGAGGTCCTGCACTGACTTGGAATAACTTCTTGAGTTCTTCAGCAAACTCCTTTATCCTCTTGCGAATCCTTTAATGTTCTTGTCCTGAAAATTGGTTTTGGTTAGCTTTGTCTTCATGTAAGCAAACATGCTGCACTGGAATGAGTTTGGAAGGAAACAGAACCAGAAGATGAGTAAAATCTGACCATGTGAACGCCTCTGCAGGCTTTTATCTCCCATCAGGAAGCTGTGGGCTGAAGTTCTGGGGTGGTCCTTGGAGCACAGCGAGGCAGCCGTGCAGGGAGCCTTGGATCGCCCTGCGCCGGAGCCGGGAATGGTGTGGCTGGATCAGCACAGCACAAGGCAGCTCTGCCTCCCAAGTTTCTGGCTTCATTAGCTACCACCAGACACTGCTCCTGCTGCTACACTGGCTGTGCTCATAGACTGCTGTGGGACATGAGGAACGTGCTGACACTTGGCATTGTGTGGACAGAGCAGTTGGGATCAGTGCTAGCTCAGGGCTGTGCTCGGGAATTCTCTGCCTGCTGGAGCCCTGCTCCTGCCATGTGGATCAGCTCTGCTAACAGGAGCTGTCTGCACTGGGATGTCTGGGGAGACATTCATACCTAAGGGTTGTAAATCAGTGCTGGTTTAGCCCTCAGAGGACAGTCTGTCTGGCCTCCAGCTGCTGCTCCTTGGCTACCTGGCCATGGCCTCTTTCTCCAAGGGTCTGTGGCAGTGATAGAAGCCAGCATGGAAACAGAGTTTCATGGATGACACAGTAATACCTGTTGTGTTTGCCAGGGATCAGTATCCTGTTGGTGCCCAGGGTCATGGTTACCCTGATGGAGACATTAGAGACCCTTCCAGGGCCTAGAGGGGCTCCAGGAGAGCTGGAGAGGGACTTGGGACAAGGGATGGAGGGACAGGACACAGGGAATGGCTTCCCACTGCCAGAGGGCAGGGAGAGATGGGATACTGGGAAGAAATCCTTCCCTGTGAGGGTGGGGAGGCCCTGGCACAGGTTACCCAGAGAAGCTGTGGC